AGAGACTGGAAAGTATACCCAAGCGAGAAAGAGAAACGTCCGAGGGGTTACAAAAGAACCTCATCACCTTTAGCCTGGCGTGACAGTTGACGCCCTCCGAATTTCGAAAACAGCCTCCTGACAGGAGCCTAGCAGGAAGACCCGGAAAAGGGTCCTGTGGGATGCTGCTGAGGGAGGTACCGTTCTCTGGCTGCGTAGACGAAAGGATAGCCCATAGCTTCAACAACAAGCAAGATGTCCACCACACCCGTGCGTACATGATGTGCGTCCCATTCCCCTCGCGCCGCACCCCTGTGCCGATGCGGGCCTGCGGCAGCCGGGCTGGGAACTTTTGTGGAAGCCAAGCGGGGGGTCGTGGCCGCACCACCACACTGCTCTCGAGCAAGAAGAACCACACCCCGCATGGTCCTGGTTCCTACTTCTTCATCGGATCCAAATCAGGCAAAGAGCTCGAGGACTTGGGGTGGGTGGGGGCAGCGAGGTTTAGTTAGGGAAAGAGGCTGGCCCGTCAGTATAGACTTCACACTCCAGGTTTCCTGTGACGACTGACGTACACGCTTGTTCACACGTACAACACACACCTACCTCGGGGATACTGCCACAGTCGACCTCTGGGCCCAGCCACGATCTTCATTTTCGAGGACGTGTGAAACGCCACATGATGGACCTGGCAAGGGGACCCGTGGTGTGAACGACAACGATGCTCGAAAGGCGAAAGGGCGAACGAGCATGAAGGGGATTGGAATCAAGGTCCCCCGTCCACTCCCGATGAGATCCTCCCCCCTCTAATCTTGAACGAAGCCGAGTCGGCAAAACCGCCAAGAAGAGGGACTCGAGATAGCGTGCCGGCTAGCCCTTTGACGTCGACATCGTCCATAGAAACGACCGTGAGGCTAACTCGTCCATGCTGGCGTTGTGAAGGGGGGAAGTTAAATGCGGGGAAAACAACGGTCAACGAACCCGCATCAAGGGCCTCGTCCGCAAAACCACGCCCCTTCCCCGGCCTCGCATTGATACATGCAAATCGCCCAACGGTCGAGATGCTTGAACGCAAAAAGCCGCCTCCGCTGATCTGGTCATACCGTCTCTGTGTATCTTGCGGAAGGAAGGGGTCGAAGAAGGGTCGTTGGCACGCGTGACATTGGCATTAGCAAATTCGAGGTTCATCTTTAGTCATGGCGTCCTGTCAACGACCTCTCTGTCGGTAATCGTGCAAGACTAGCTTGATGCTGGGGCAAGGGAAAGCAATGGCCGCGGAATGCCACCCCGATCCAGTTTGCGGGGAAAGAAAGTTGCACGAGACGAACAGAAGGGCACGCGACGAGCTTAACTTGCCTTAACCATTTGGCCCAGACCGATCTTCAGAGTCCCGCTTGGTGGGTGAACCCTTGAAAAGGAGAGAGACATATACAAATACAAAGACATGTGAGCGAGCGGCGGTAAGATGATCCTTCCTATGTGTCAGTACGTAAAAGTAGTGTGCAGTCAACTCAGCCCCGCCGGAGTAACTTGTCAGGCAGCCTCCTGATTTCAGAAGTAAAGCAATAGCCCTGACGATGTTTCCCCTGGGCCGAATTATCGAGAAGCTCGAACTAGCTTGATGTAAGCTCGAAAGGTTGCCGCGGCTCAGCAAACGTCGTTCTCTTTGCAAAGGAACCGATAGAGAGTACAGATAGACTAGGCATCAAACGACAGACGAGGCTGCGGCTGCGTAATCGTAATTGTGCCGTTCGTCGCTACGAGCGGGCCACTGCATCAGGACCGATTAGTATAGACTAAAAGAAAGGCCTGATGATTGCCACCAGCGGGATTGAATTGGACACCCGACATATCGGCCAGAGGAAGAGTCAGGCTACTCTTGCCTTCCGAACCCTCCACAACTTTCCTACCGATCGAGTCGCAAACACTGGAGGTCGAACGACGGTATTCTCTTTATGAAGTCTACTCCACCCCACGGTCTCTGATCGATATTATTGGAGGCGGTCGTTGGCGCTTGTCATTCGCTAGTCCCCGGGACCACGCTTGTCTCTGTTAAGATGATGATTGCAACGTTGCAGCGCCAATGAGATAGCGGCAAATCGTTCAAGGTCCGGGGCGTGAGGCGAGCCGATTCGACGAGATGTGATGAGCAGACACCGATGGGGGATGATCATGACATCTAGACACTGAGAGAGTGCAGAGAGAGTGCAAAGAGAGCGAGGAAGAAGGGGGATACGGGGATTGGCTTGAGCTTGCGGAATCCAGTTTGCCAGTACCTATCTTTTCCATGTTTCCTTCTTTTTTCGCAGCTGTACATAAAACATATCCACGCTTTGAAAGAGCCCCGAGGATAAGACCAGGGGGTAACCCGACATTGACCGGGGCCTCTGGACGCACCGGACATCGAAGCGACCTTGCCAAACAGCCGCCGTTGTCACTGCTGAAGCAAATTTCCGAGCTGGGATCGCGACAGGCGCTTTAGCTCATGCCAGAACCAGTCGGGTGGAAAAAGTCTGGCAAGATGTCGATGTTCAAGGAGAGAGAAAAGCAATTGGCGGCTCGATAGACAAGGATAAATATTGAGCAAGGGGGGGGTTCTTGAGCAAGAGCCAGCTGGCAGACCACCCATTTTCCCACAGCAGCGGCGGCGCGGGATGATGAACTGCTATGGGGCATGTCATCATCAAAAGGCCAGGCTCGCGCTGTTGTCGAAGGGGTACGATGACGTCCCAGGTGATCTTTCAAGACGGAACGGTTGAGTGATGCATGGCCGTCTGCACAATGATCTGATCAAGCTTCAGAGAAGGGTGATGTACTGTAGGTACGTGGTATCTGCGTGTTCATCCTGCACCGGACCTTTCATGGAGCCCTGGCAAGCGCGATAATGTCAGTCCTGATGGAAATGGAGAGAGAGAGAGAGAGAGAATGATCAGTCCCAGGCGGAGATGGTTTGGGGGTCACCCCTCTACTTACCTTCACCGGCCGGCCTAGCGTGGAATCGAGGGGCAGGTTCTAGGGTTTCGATGAAGTGGCGGTGGGCTCACTCTCACTTGAGAAACAGTGACAACAGCGTGCAGGTATAAAGTCCAGAGTCCATTGTCTAGACAGAGCGTCCAGACCCTGACCCTGCCACCCAGTAAGCGGCTTTGATTTGGGCACAAATCGTCAAACCGCCAGTGTCCAAAACCCACACCATGTTGCTCCGGTGCCATACGGAAGAGAAGTCTGCCCATGGCCGCCAACCTAGACGTCGTCCACAAAACCGGCATGATGTGTGTAGGTATGTCTCGGGAGATGGTGTTGGCGGTCGTAACAACCCGCAGCCAATCGCATTGTTCAAGCCTGATAGAGTTAAGCCGGCATCAGGGGTGTTGAAGGAGTGATGGTTGGGTAGAAGATGGCTATGTGTGAGGAACGGTCCTCTGTACGAACGAACGGCAGCGCCCACAACACTACCCTAATCGCTAGGTAGAGAGACGCAAACCAATCGTTGACCAAACAGATACGGGGACAAGCCACACGTCCCGAGACCGAAGATTGGGGGTGGGAGACACATTGAGCGAAAAGGAAGCAGATGACGGCAGCGAGCCGGGCTTGAACAGGATCCTTCCGTTCAACTGGTTATGGTTGGCTGCCTTTGGCCGGAGCAGTTCGCGCGTTGCGGTGAACGAACGGTTTAACGGTTGACGGATGACGGATGGCGGGAGGCGCACACTTGGAGACGGCAAAGTCGAATTTAACTCGCCGACGGGGGGATGAGCCGGTCACCACGCTAACGGCTGGCTTGAGGACTTTTTGCATCGAGTGAGGCTTAGACCACCCACCCCCCTGACTGTGAAATGGCGTTTGGAGAGAGCTTCTCTGCATGCTTCCTCGGTCCTTCTAGCGCTCCGAACTGCATCCCCCGCGCTAGGCGGAAAGTGTATCGCTGCTCTGTTCAGACTGTTCTTGATTAGGGTTGGTGCTATCGTACCTGCGACTACTGCCAGAGGATACTTCTCTGAGTGCAGCAGGAGAGGAAGCTGGCGAACGTTCTCTCGACGACGTCGCCATCTTGGGTGACATCAGGGAGAAGTCAAACCATGTGCGATGACCCTCTGCTCTCTGGATACGATATCAGAGATACGGAAGATGAAGTGGCCCAAGTTTGAACTGCCCTTCTAGGCATCCTCCGCGCTTCTGCTGCACCGTCTCGTCATCGGCGTGGGTTGGGGCCATGTAGCAATGACATGTCTCACGATGATTGTCGAATACACGTCAACCAGACTCCTGGACGCGCTTCTCCCGACATCCCGTCTCGCACAGCCCCAGCCTTGCGGTAGTTGAGCAAGCGGGAGTCAGAACGGCAATACTGAATCATGGGGGTGGTCCTTCTCATTGTCCTTTCCGAGAAGGAGACTTTGCCAACCTGCTCTTCTTGGAACTGGTTTGTGAAGCCAATACTGTGTGCACGGGCGCACCTTGAACTTTGAAGAGCTTGATACCCGTAGACTGAGACTCAGCTCTCAGGGGCGAGCCGCAGCAGGCATCGTCATGAATCGCGGGCTGCAGCTTCGCGGATGGTCGTGAATATGTCTTTCTTGGCTTGAATGATTTGTTGCTCCGGAAAGGCTTCTCTCGAGTCACTCAGGTTGCGTTGGGGGCTTCCTCTAGCCAGGTTTAAGCGTGGCTGAAGCCGTATTCTGCCAATTCTCCGGGTCCTGTAAACCACTCTGTGCCCAGATCAGATCAAGTTGGGCAAAAACCCTTTGTTTTACCCTTCGGGGCTCCCAGGGACAAGGGGCTATGGTATTCAAGGCCTAGAGTGCTGATCAATGTCGGTGGTCAGGGGTCGCAGGGACGCAGGAGGTGTCGGTCGGGTCCGAAGTGGGCTCTGAAGACAACCTCGGAGCGCGGATTGGACACTATCAAAATAGCAGAGATGGAGAAGGGAACGGCCGAGACTCGCAAATAGGGGAAAGCATGTGATGAATGGAGACGGCCGACGTTGAGCAACGAGCTGGGGCGACCTCCGGCGACCCCCGGCGAGCCCCACGATGGCGATCCCGTCGCTCTGCCGCACTCATGGCTGGCTGACGGGTTTCTGATGTTGGTTTCTCAATCTCTCAGGGCTGCGTTGATATTGATCCTTCAAGGGTTGTTGTTGACGAGGTTGGATTCCGACAGAGCGCGAACAGGCGCACCTGGCTCTCGCGGGCGAAGCGAGCTAAGGCTATGGGGGCGTGCGGTGTCAGTGCGGACGTTTGTCATCTGGACCAACGCAACGTCAGCCAGCATTAGTTGTTGGGTACTGGGTATCCAGGATCCTGAAGTGAAGCCCGGGGTGTCAGTATGGACGGACGTCCTTGGGACCGTGACAGTGGCGCTACTCCTGCAAGATTTGAGACACGAAGAACCAGCGAGCAGGTATCTGTACTTGGATAATTGGATCCCAGGCGCCCTTTGGCATGCTGTGATCAGGGAATCAGGCAGGCAAAAGCCAAGGCCGTCAGGTCCGGAAGAAGGGGAGTTGTGTCAACAAGCATCGGAGAGATCGATACATCCGCATCGTGTCGAGCTGGCAGGGCCTGGTGGAAGGGCAATAATACTAGGACGAACTATTGCTGCTGATTCTAGTCACACTACCACGAATGTGTGTTTGCGGTGCTGATGTCGCCTGATATCGGTAGGTTGTAGCTCAAGTGAGTTGAACGTGCAAAAATGTCATCAGCGGCGCAAGCGAGGTTGACGAGGGGAACGAGGGGAACATGGGACGGCGGCGATGGGTGAGGCCAAAGCAGCTAGGTGGACTTCTGCGTTGCGACGGTCGGGATGGCGGTTCAGAGACGTGCAGTAACCCATTACTAAGTGTGATGAGAAGTGTGGGTGGCAGGTACTGCTTGACCAAGGGCGCTAAACGATGTTGAGTTCGAGGTGAGGTGAGAAAGAGAGAGAGAGAGAGAGAGAGAGAGAGAGAGAGAGAGAGAGAGAGAGAGAGAGAGAGAGAGAGAGGAGGCTCGCATCCCCGGTGACTAGATGAGGTTCGAGAACGAGATCGGAATGTGAGGTTCTTTGCAAAGCTTCCAGAACTCTCGACGCCCGCTGCACCCCTACTCACTTCCCATCCCTTCCGCCTTTCTTTCCTATTGCCTAGAGTTACCGAAGGAAGCCGTCGGCCACCGAAGGATAAGAAAGGCAGAAGGCAGGTACTAACGATCACGGTGGAAAGGTATGGGTGAGCGAGCCTGTGATGGTGAGTGAGAGTGTGTGAGTGTGTGCCTGGAGAACGCCATCCTTTCGTCTGCAAGCCTCCTCCCCCCCCCCCTCATGCTCTCTTCTCTCCCCTTGGGCCTTCCCCCTTCTCGCAAGCACTTGCTTGCGCCTGACCTGCAAGTCACATTTGTTGAAAGTGGTTGGCCTCTTGAGCAGACTGGCCCGACGGCAGAAGGCGCGTCGAAGTCTGCATGGAAGGTCTAGCAAAAGCGCCGCCCGTTCTGTTGCACGGCGTAGAGGATGCGATGCCCTGCACCTATCCTGCAATGGCACACTCTGTTGCTCCTGGGCAGAGGCGCCACGGCGCAGCTAGTCCAGAAGGCAGCAAGCCCAACAAGCAAGCCAAGGCTTCCATGAAGCCATGGTCCATCGTAGCCTGTGCTTCTGTAGCATTCTAGAGAAAAAGGGCCCTGGCCGGAAGGACTGGGGTGGAAGTGAGGGTGATCCGGTGTGATGAGATGCTTCTTCCGAAGTGTTACGCTGGGGCAAGCTGTGTTGTGTTTTGCGTTGTTTTGCGTTGTGTTGCGAGGTGAGGTGAGGTGTATCAAGGAGAGAAGGGAAAGGTTCTTTGAAGTTCGAACAAGAACATTAGGCATCGGACATTAGACGTTGGACGTTTGATGGCAATCGCCAACACACCAAACACAAGTATGCCTACAAAGTTCCTATTAGCTAATGGGAAGGTAAAAGTTAGGATCTCTCTTCGGGTGCCGTTCCCTCGACTCTCGAGTACCGGTGTAGATTTCTCCAGTGCGGGCGGGAAAAGGACTCCTGCATCCCGCCCTCCCCCTCCCACCCCTCCCACCCCTTCCCCCTCTCCACATCTCGCAGACCTCGATCCAACCCAACCTATCTCACCCAACTCACCTCCCTCACCTTGCCTTGCGTCTAACACGCATCCAGCCAATCCGGCATGGGTTGCTCTCTCTAGTCTATTACTTTATGTGTATCTGTATGTAGGTACTCGATATGCTTCACCGCACAACGACGACAAGCCTTTTCATCACTTGACACTCGAGCCAGGCTTGAATTATCCAACGGCTACCGCGTTTAAGAGCCCGTGCCAACCACGACAGACTCGGAATATGGGTACGGATACATGTACGCTGCTCTCTTCAGGTGTCACAAACTGCACCCTTTCATCACCTGTTGCCACGATCCATCAACTAGTACTCCGTAGTGCCCCTCGCTCTCCAATGTTGGCTGAGTTACGGATACCAAGTACGGGATACTCCATACGCGCCTCCACCTTACAGTAGGCCGGAGTGAGCGCATCGGCAGACAGGGTTGCTGGGCTAAAGATAACAAAATCTCTTCGCTCGAAACAACCACCGATGATATTGGATATGGATTCAAAGTACGGATACACCAGACCCGTATGCCACGGATATTAGACACACGCGAACTGCATCGCCCACTCCACCGAATAAGACCCATCCATCACCACAACCACCCACCACCACCACAGCCATCACCTTGTCCAACATACCAAATCCGGCCACTGACAAGTCTCTGCCGCGGCACCTACTTGTCGCACTGGCACTCTATGGGCACGGGCGTCTTGCATCTGCTTGGAAACCAGGAACAGATGCTGGAACGGGAACAGGAACAGGAAATCTCCATCAAAAAGCTGGCCATGGATAATGGACCAGAATTGCTCCGTCGTGGGGCGCGGGGGTTCACCCGTCGTCCATGTCCGACGCTCTCTGACATGTCGCTTCACGCTTGACTCTAGCTGCCCTGTCCCGACTCCCACGCCCTCGCCCTCGCCCTCGCCCTCGCGCCGGCAACAAGTCACAAAGTCACCAAGTGGTCGGTGTTGAGCGGGTGGGTTCCAAGACGACCGATGAACCACCCCGTCATCATCCTGGTCAGCTCGGTTCGAGGGAATGCGTACCGAGGAACAAGGAACACGGGTGAGATCGAGTTACAAAACACCTTGCCGTTAGATACCTGCCACTTGCCGCGGGATTCCCCGTCAAGACTATGTACCGACAGCGGCGGCCGACAGAGGCTCACTTGTAGCTTTCGCCTTGGACTCAGGCGCCGCACGCCGCACGCCTCACCCGCTCACTCCATCTCATAACCCTCGCGCTCACTTCAGGTGCATAGATACCTACTCCGTCCGTATAGAGACAGACAGAGAGGAGACTGACGACCGAAAACAGACACAGTCCGGCAATAACGACAGTGACAAGCATCGCATCGTCATCTCCGTTGCTGTTTCTGTCACATGCAATCCGCTCTTTTGCTCACTTTGGGCTTCTACGTCTCGCTCTTCGTGGGCCTCAATAAACCTTTGCTCGACTTCTCTTGTCGCCGCAATCTTTCGAGAGTCATCATCTCAGACAAAGTCTCGACCCCATGCGCCTATCGGCTATTGACTGGGCCATCCAGTCATTTAACCTAAGCTAGCTACGCTACGTAGATAGCCCGTACGGGATTGCCCAGCTACCAAGACGCGGCTTCCATTGGCAGATGCTGCTCGGCCGTGTTATTGGTTGGGTTGATCGATGGAGCAGCAGCCGCCAGTTCGTCCAAACATTGAACCGTGAACCCACCTTCATCTTTTCTTGTTCTATGAATTGCAAAGAGCTGCCAGACCAACGCTACTCGGACCACTGAGATGGTGTAAAACGAAAGGGGCCTTGCTTGGTTTCACTTCACATTGCCGTATCGTACAGATACCGACCTCGTCCCTCGTTTCGCTCATCCAAGCTTCAAGTACCGTTCCAGCCTCACCCCCCGTCCGACGACAATTGTCCGCGTCGTTTTTTAGCTCGCGGCGCCTTGTTCCTTGCCCGCAGCAGGCCGAAAGTTAATTGCACACAGGCTTGTTGTTCTTCACAGACGCCTCTCAGTCTGTAGAGATTCTGGATGCAGAAGAAGCACGCAAGCTGGCTGGCTGGCTGGCTGGCTGGCTGGCTAGCTGGAGAACCCCCCCCCTCCCCCCCGGGCTGCCAATCACCCTGGCCACGGCCACCGTCTCCGCCCTCGCCGTTGTCGTTGTCCTTGCATGGACCGACCCTGTCCTGCCCTGCCCTGTAGCGCGGCAGATGCAGCAGCATTGCATCGCATCGAGTCGCTAGCAGGGGCTTTCACTCAGGGAGCAGCAGGGTGGGTTCATGGTGGGTTTGCAAAAGGACCTGAGCTAGGTTGAGGCTAGGCGCGAAGAGGAGCAGCTGGGAGCCGGCGAGCCAGTCTTTTGCTCTCGAGTGCAGACGTTCATTTTGGAGACTGACTGCGCAGTCGTCACTGACAGGCTGCAGAACGAAGATTGTCTCATCTGTCTGTCTCCGACTCTCCCCTTCTCTTGACCGGGTTTTTGAATGACAATTGGACTTTGTCAAGAGTCCGGGCTGATCTGAGACTGGCCAACGCTGTCAGAATCCTAGCAAATGGAAACTGCCAGAGACGCTCCCGCAATGATGCTATTTCCGATGGATCTACCGTCAGTGTCTCGTCTTGCCCGATCTACGGAGCACTCGTCTGTCAGACACGCCGGACAAGGCCAGGCGAAGGCGGGAAGCAAGTAGGGGCTGGTTCGCGGGCTGGTTATGGGAACTGTTATGTTCAGGGACCGATGAATACGAGTTGTTGGGGCCGAATACCTCATGGCAGGGATCTCAAGCGCCGCCAAAAGGGAACATGTCGTCTCTCGTCCCTCGTTTGCTTGCCTTGACTTGTGGGTGCATTGATCATTATCCGTCTCGTCTCATCACTTTCAACTTCTCCCTCCCCCCCCCCCCCCCCCGCAATCCTCTATCACGTCTTATCTTGCTGCCCTCCCGTGCTACAGGTTCTTTTGCGGCGACCGGGTTGGATCTCCGTTCATCGTATGTCACCAGCCATGGATTGAACTTTTTTTCTTTTCTTTTTTCTCTCTCTCTCTCTTCCTACCTCTCCTTCTCTCCGTTTATCCTATCTCAAGAGCGGAGAGCAGAGCGGATACCAACCATATTGATTGCATTCTGTCTTTGTCCAGTCGAGTATTGTGCGAATATGGCACTCAGCCCTTGCACGAGATGTATCCAAGATCGCGTCTGGTTATGCTGTTCTCTCCAACTAGGCACCGAATGTTAAGCTCTCGGTATCAGATCTTGGAGACAATGGTCTTCTTCTAGGCTCTTACTCCGCATTCAACTCTCTCTGTCTTCCCCAACATCGATAACTAACAAGATAGAACGCCCACCAAAGCCACCCGCACCGCACCGCACACACTCTGAAATTTGGGGGGTGATGGGTGAGGCATGCAACCCCTCCAAAGTCTGGACGACAAGGGGTCCCTGCCGCATCGTCCGGCCACATCTTGACCAGAGCAACCTAAAATCGCGGGCAAGCCAGCGAGAGGCAAGGTACCTACGGATCCAGCAGTAGCCACAGCCCACAGTCGAGGGCCCTGGACTCTTGTGCCTGCAATGAAATGGGGACTCCCTCTTTGCCTACACCAGGGATCCCCTGCTCTACAGACATCTGGCAACGGCTCCGCTGATCTGCTCATATTCATCCTCCCACTCTCGACTCTCACTCGCTCTGCCCTGCCCGCCGCTCCTCTCTAGCCTTGCCTCCCACTCTTCGTTGTGTCTCTCTCGAGCTCTTACCTCCCGCATCCACTAAGATCGAGAGAACGGCCAGGAACCCAGAGACGAGGCACACTCCCCGAACGCCGCTCTCTTCT